ACAGTTATTGCAAAAATCAAAGCTTGCAAATCAAGCCACTTTTTTAACCCAATCAACTCAACCCAATATTTTAAAACCACAAAGACTATTAGTACAAAGTAAATTTTCTCTTCATAAGGCCATTTTTATGTATGAATACAGCGATAAATCTGTCCACAAATAAATCTTGCTTTAAAAATATTTCTTAAAATGAAAAAAACATGCCCTAAACCCTTCCAACTTACTGAGTTGACAGTACGGATGACTTCATCCAGCCTCATCTTGGAATTGATTCCAGCATCCACCAGATGATCACAGAAAGCCATGATGTAATGGTTCTGCTCGGTTCTCATGGTAACCATCGCCATAGCAGCAGATGCTTCTCGGGCCATGATGTTCTCAATTCCGTTGACGCCACTACAACTCATGGAGCCACTGACGTCCAGAGCTAGCAGGAAACGCTTGCCGGTTGGCTCAACAAACTAAAAATAAAAAACAAGACACAAATAAGAGCAAAGAGTTTAGAAATTATGAATTGTGTGAGGCCCATCAGTGCATACTTTGTAGTCCTAAAACAGTCAGATGATTTCTGGAATAATGCAGATGTTCAGCTCCCCCCCCCAAAAAAAAAATTTGGCAACTTAAGTTCTGCAATTTTTCCTTCTATGTAATAAGTTTTCAGCATGTTTGTCAATTATGACACTGTACACTCTCTAGCTCAAAGCTTCAAGTAAAAACTTACGGGATGAAGTCATGAACGCATACAAAGACATTTGAAGCAGAACAGTGAAGTTGATGTTTATCTCCTACCTTGAACGTTTTGTAGAAAGCGTCATCCAGCGCATCGCAAATTGTCTGCACTGGCGTCCATGACAGCTTGCCCTTGTGTCCTTTCCCCTTCTTGTATTGGTAGAGTGCTGCCAGGATGTGGATTGGGTGGACACGGGCTTTGCGCAAACGGTTCTCATCCCGCAGCCGTTCGCAGACCAGCGCTGTCTCTTCGGTGAGGGGTTTCAAGAGCTCGATGGAGGTCAGCTTGCCCAGGTTGCGGATCATGGCTGTCATGGGCATGGATTGAAGCAGAGCCTTCCAGACCTGTTGAAGAGACGATGAGCACGTTAGCGGGTAACTCTGGTCATCAGGTTATAAAGAGAGGAGGACGTAAGCTGGTTATCTGTGCTTAGTATCTGGGAGGTCATTGATTGAAGTCCAAGCAATACAAGTAAACAGTTTTCATAAGCTTTTCAAGAATGTGTCAATGGAACTCTTGACCTACATCAACTGATTTGAGAAACTGTGTGGGCAGATGTTCCCAGGCAAACTGATGTTTCTCCACCAAGGCGATCACTTCCGTTTGGTCTGTGGAAAGCCGGGCTGTCTCAGCATCCTTCAAGAAGGTCAGGACTTCCTTGAAAGAATCACTGTGTTCTTCATCCTCCTTGACTGACTTGTCAAGCTCCTTCCAGCCTTTAACCACATACTTCAGCACCAGGCCAGTCACTGATGGATTGAAAAAAAAAAATGCTAAGCAAATCTTTTAGTCTGCTTAGTAAACTGAAACATACCTGTGCCAAACAGCTCCAAGAAATTTACGCAACACAGTGATATGATAACGAATAACATTATGTGGCTGCCATTAAGTAGTTGATAATAAACAGCTTTATCCAAGTAACTTAAAAATTATTTATTATATAATATATTATTATATAATTATAATTATATATTATAATTATATAAATATTTAAAATAAAAATAATGATTTTTCAGTAACTGGAAGAAGTGCATCATCTAGCGAGTCAATTATATGAAAAGATGTATCAATGACTAATTGATATACTATGGGAAAAATATGCAATTCAGATGAGTGATCAATTGATTGACATTGGGACTGGAATCTCATTCATCCTGACTCACCCTCATCTTTGGGCTTTACGTGTCCAAGCCGGAGAATATCTCGATGAGTCCAACCATTACGATTCCTGTACTTGGTCACAGCATAGGCCAGTTGTCTTGGATTCTTCTCATTGTACCAGCGGGAGATTGCCCGCTTCTGGGCCCGCCCCCAGCCTGTCCCAAACCCGCCTTGGATCTTCTCTACGAACTCCACAAACTGGAACAAGGTGGTCGGGATGCGGCAGATCTTGGGCATGGCCTCGTAAGCCTGTTGCTTAACCTTGACGTGTTCGCAACGAGCGCACTGAACCAGGGCGACGAGAATGGGGTCTTGTTTGGCGGTACGCCCCTCTAAGCTATACTCCAGGATTTCTTTGACAACATCCTCTCCCCTCCCGTCTTCAATTAGTTTCTGGATGCACTCCATGTTCTGCAGGCCTAGCTCCTTAGCTTTGCAGTAGTACGTCCCTGTCTCTGAGCCTAGACAGAGGAAGCGACGTAGACGGTCCATGTCATCCAAAGTCCAGACATATCCCCCAGCGTTGTTACACACCTGGCTGGCTGTCAAGGGCTGGCTTTGAGGTACGGGGCTGTTTTCCGCCATTTCAATGATTTTTCAGAAACAATCTGTAGAATATATATGTACAGATGGGTATGTAGTGAGTAAAACAAGTCAAATCCTGGCACTCTTCAAACTAAAATCACATTGATAGTCACAGACAATACACCGGCTAGGCCCGATGCTGACATGTGATAAGCTCACTGACTCTGTTCAATGAAGATGTTTGCCAAATCAGTCTTAGGCATCAACTGAAGAATTTATCCCGGCACACAAAAATAACTAGCTAGCAAGACCGGATACAAATCATACAGGAAAGTGGAAGAAATGACCCTGGCAACAGTTATTTGTCTGATAAGTAGTATATTACTACTACCAGACTTCTAGTACTACTAGGCCTACATTTCTGGGATGAAAATTCCTTGCGTGTTCAATATTAAAGCACAGTGACCAAAACTTTAAAAGTAAAGGGGCGTTGTAACTTATGAACAGGATGAATATCACAACAGTAACATACATCAGGAGGCCTAAATGCAGGGCCGGTCTAAGAAATATAACTGTTGGCGAGCGCCCGAAGTATTGCACAGGAATGAGAAATAGCCGAAGGTTACCCCAGCCTATCCCCTGGACAAGATGACGTCAACCCCTAAAATAAACGGGGATTTTCGAGAATGTGAAACGTTGCAGTTTTTGCAGTTCTTGCACCACACAGAGACATCCAGCAAGCGGTCCCAGTTAAATATAAAGTGCGCCCTCATTTGTAGTTAACTAAAAAATTAATAACGTGCCAAGAAAGGTCAGAGGTCTCTTGAAGGGCAATTTAGGTCTGGGTGCCGCCTCTTTATGTGATTGTAGTACGCGTGCGTTACTAGTTGAACAATCTACTGACATTACTTCCACTAAAACCATCATGGCAGACGTACTGAAATTTATTCGCGAGTACACCATCGCAAATAAAGAGATTACTGAACGCGATGACCAAGTTATATTTGGTGAATTCTCGTGGCCGAAAGATGCCAAGACAAACTACGGAGTTTATGGGTAAGTTGCCTCGATATTTGAAATCCGTGGCACAATATTGCATTGAATGACCAGACAGGTCCATCACCATCACATTATCACGCCATGCACGCGGCCGAAGTACGCCAGGCTACATCATGGCAGAAATGAACATGGAGACTGGAGCTGACGACTGACAGACAATACTTGATGCCCCTGTGTAGTACGAGATTTGCCTGAAAAACTAAGTGTTTTTCTAAGTAATCTTTCAGCATTTTCTCAGCTAAATTTCACTTTTTTTGACAGTTGACATCTAAATTGTTAACACTTCCTGATGGTTGTTATTTAATATATTTTAATAGAAAATTGTTGTCTGTGCATGCAATCTCTCCACATTGTTTAATGTTCAATTATTGTTGCTGTATACGATGCGAGTTGCGTTGCCCCATGGTGATGTCATAATATGCCCAGCATTTAGCACATGCATGATGTTGCTTTTGTGTAAGATTATTTTACACAGCCATGACAGTGACAGGCCTCCCTTTGAAAAATTGTTCTTCATGTTCTTAAGGGAGTTAGCTCCACTTAAGGAAGTACTAACATCCCTGATGGTGTTGTTGCCAGGTCTCTAATTTTGCCACCTATTGTCAAGTCTGACTGGTTTTCATAGTAAGTGGTAAAATAAGGGACCTGGCAACTGTACGGTCATGGACGTTAGTCACGTTAGTATTCCCCTTTCTAAATTTTGTATTGGATCGGTGAGTACGACAGATCCATCACAAAATTTGAAAAAGAGGGATACTAGCTGTTTTCTCAGTAGAGCTTGATCCATAGATGTTCTGATGATAGGTATGATTTGTTGATATGCGAGATCACTCCATCTTTGCATGATTGCTTATTGTACTGTTTGATTCCTCGATAATTCTCCTATCGGTCAATCAATTTTTGTTTCTCATTCATGGTTTTTTCAAAACAAGCATGACAATTGAAAATGAAGACGTCATGCAGAATCAACCAACTGTGCAGAGTAATCAGGCGATAGGACACATTGTTGCTTTCTGATGGCTAATTAACAACTTGACGAGGTTGCTTTGAACAGGTTAAGCGGTAACTTAAGCTTTTTTTTTCAAGCTGCCGTGCCTGTACTGGCAGGGCAAGGACCGTAGCAAAAGTCATGCTTTGGTCATGATTTGTTATGTTGACTCTTTTGAAAGAGGGAAAAAAATTGAAAGAAGTAGATGTGCCAATGCATGAGTGAAAAAGTCAAAAGCCAGTTCATGGTTAAATATATGTATTTCTTGCCTGTATTTTAGACAGGATTTGTTTTTCAGATCAACGCCACAAATCCAAAAGCTGTGATATCATGTTCATAACCACTAGGTTTCCATCACAGTTACACAAATGCTGCCAGTGCCGCAAGTTAACAATCTTTAAGATTACATTCCAGAAGAAGTTGAAAGTTATTTCAAACGTAGGCAACATCTGTACAAGTGGAATGGATTCCTAGGAGGTACACCAGTTGTACCATAAGCATCTCATTGATATTAAGTTTTATATAATAAATAATAACTTCTCTGATTTGCACTACAAATTCTATCATTTAGATATCCCCACTCAGTCCTTCCCGTGTAGACAACAGTTGTTCAAGGTCTTATACAAAAACTGGTTTAAAGTGCACAATAATCGTAGTGTTAAAATAATGCACAAATTTCAAATTATTATAATTAGAACTGGCAAAGACGCTGGTGAAGCCAAGGACTATTACACTGTGGACTCCATCTTATTTCTTCTGAGACACGTCAAGCTTACCCATCCTAACTATGTGCGGCAGGCTGCCGTAAGTACTTGCCTTTTGGAGAAAAATTCTAAAAGGACTGTGTGACTTCACAGTCAACCCACTTTATGTGTATCAGAGTTGTTCTTGAAGAAAGTACAGTGTTAATGCTAGCAAGCAGTTTCATCTGTTAAAGCTTTCTAGATTTCTCCAACATTTCTTAGACCTACTAAAATCAACCCACCCTTTGTTTTTGGAAGTCACTGTAAAAGGATTCTTTAGCTTCCAGGAAAGGACATTATAATCCATAAAAATGGTTTGCACAATTTGATTCGCTTTACTGAAGGTTGAATGTATTTGGATGTTATTCGTTGTTACCAATAGGCAGCAAACGTTCCTGTTGTACGTCGTCCTGACAGGAGAGGCTTGCTGGCCTATCTGAAGGGAGAAACAGGTTTGTAATTGCTACTGTAACTAGAAACTTTCAAACAAATTTTCTATTAAAACTGTTGACGAAATTTTTTAATTTTTTGAACAAAAGTTTGCAGGTGCTTTTTGGTAACGTTCATTCTTCTGTTGTTTCCAACAGCCACATCTGCCAGTATCGACAAAAGTGCACCACTTGAGATTGCTATACAGAGACAGACTCAGGGTAAATATCGTCCCAGAGGGTAGCCATCTTGGTCATGTTCCTTGACTTCATGTAGAGGTTTGCATAGCATGCAGGCCATTTGGTTTATATATAGGTTGGTCATCAGGTACATTCAGTTAGTAGCCAAAACACAAATTGCACCATCGTAATATGCAGTTTTTATTTACCTTTTAGCCAAACGCACCACTGATGACACCCAAAATGACCCATCTAAGAGAATTCGCTTGGAGATGGAACAAGTGCAGAAGGCCAAGGTACCAGACTAAGGGTTTCTTTGAATTTGAACCTCAAACACTGTTGTCTTGGCAAGGTACCAGGCTGATTGTTGAAGCAATATCTAGAAACGTGATGAAAGTAGTATTCATTGAAATCTGAAAAGTCCATGTGACCATTTGCAGTGTGCACGCTAGTTATAATGCCAAATTTTTTACTCAACCTCAAAATGTTCTAAGCTCTGAAGTATTTGAAATATCGCTGTTCTTACTGTATGCAATTACATGCTTAAAATGTGACAAATTCACTTTTATATGTGTGATAATTTTTTCTTCATATTTGTTCTTGTAGGAACGACTTGCGGCCAAGCTGGAACCATCCAAAGAGGGCGCTGTTGTCACCACAGATCAGATTAGGTGTGTACTTAGGAAATCAATGACAATAGATTTGGCCAGGTTGAAATTGCGTGTACATGTATTTGTATCAATTTTCAATGTTTCCTCGGCTTTCACCTCAGAAACGTGAAGTTTTGCACATAAGGTGCAATAAATTTGATCTTAACCTCTGACCTAACCTCTACTTTTCAGGTCGCTCTCAGATACCATGTCCGTGGAAAAGATCGCAGCCATCAAGGCCAAGCTGAGAGCCAAGAAGCGAACTACCATCAAAGTGGACGAGGACGACCTAGGCACGGGGATCTTGGAGCAGCGTAGCTTCATCGATGCTGAGGTGGACGTGACCAGGGACATCATGAGTCGAGAGAGACTATGGAGAACCAGGACTTCCATCCTACAGAGCACTGGCAAGGTAGGCACAGTGGGATGGGCTCTTACGCATAGCCGCATGAGGGCGCTCTAGCTCTGTTTAATAGTACAGAAGATGACATCGTGCAGGGACTCGTAAATGGACTTGTTATTTTAGGAGTGCTGTACACGTGCTGCAGGCAACGACAGAAGATGAAACCCATGGTAATGAATGACTCCAGAATGGTTTGTTTTGTTTTGTTTTGTCTGGTTATCAGTGATTGATTATTGTGATCTTGCAGGATTTCTCCAAGAATGTCTTTGCTATACTGCAGTCTGTGAAGGCACAGGAGGACGGCAAACAGACAAAACCTACCACGCAGCAAAGAACTGAACAAACTCCAGCTATTCAGCAGGTGTGTAACACCCATTCTCTCCATTTTTGTGCATTTTGCTCGTCGTTCCAGCACATTCACCCAATTGCACCTGTTCTTTTGTGGCACCCATATTTCATTCAAAGTTTATCTTTCTCTGCCGTCCACAGAGGGAATTTTGTGTCGGTATGTTGCTCATTTGTCTGATCGCAATCTTGTCGTTATTCTCATCTAGGATCCTCGGAGGAAGCTGACCACTCAAACGCAGTACAATCGTTACGATCAGGAGAGATTCCGAGGAAAAGAAGGTCAGAGGTCATTGCCTAAACAAACTAGATCAATGTGGACAGCCTTAGTTACTTTGAAAACACTGTCACACTTTTGTCTTTAATATTCGTTTCAGCGGGGTCAAACTTGTTGTTTTTATTATCTACAGAAACCGAGGGCTTCAAAATTGATACCGGAGGTACATACCATGGCATGACACTCAAATCTGTAACGGTGAGTCAGGAATGTGCAATGATTTCAGAGTGTCATTTCTCCAAACAACCTCGTACTGGCAAGTCCTGGATAAAAAAGAGAAACAAGGAATTAGTCCAACTCGTATAAAACCATGACTCTCATAGTTCTACTGTTTAAAATTTCAAATCAAATTTCCAGCATAGCTCATACAAAAGCAGCGAGTGGTTTTCCAAATTTATCTTATCTCAGTCGAGATGGGCAATTTTGCCATCTTAAATGTGAAAGGAAAATCTTCAAATTCACATCTGCACTTTGGACAATTCAGTTCAATCCTGGAATGTACAAACATGTCTCAAGTTAAACACGCATGCATCTTCATTGTGTACAGGAAGGGGCCAGCGCTCGCAAGGCTCAGACCCCAGTCCAGCCCCCACGGCGAGAGATCACCCCCCAGCCCAAGCCGCAGACACCCCAGAAGCGCGTCTCTCGTACCCCTATCATCATCATTCCAGCTGCCACCACATCGCTCATCACACTCTACAACGCCAAGGACATCTTGCAGGACTTGAAGTGAGTCTAAAAATAACTAGATAAATAAACACCAGCTCAGTCATAGTCAATCAGTTCTTGGTAACCTGTTGAGGCATTGGCAACCATAAACAACAGGCCAAGACACTTAATAACTATTTATTTTCTCCATCTGAAATGGTTTGTCTCTCTCTCGCATCATCAAGGAAGCATATTTTGGTGTCATTTGAAGAATCTGTAAGTTGTCATTTTGCAAGCTGCAATATCGAAATATTGAGGATCCTTCATTTTGTTACCAAAATTTTGTTACCATTTTGTTACCATTTGAGTTTCAGAAGATGTCATTGTACTGTTTCACTGTTAATTTATTGAAACATATAAAATGCCTCTTCCCAAGGTTCTGTACATCGGACGAGAAAAAGTCCCAAGGAGCTCGCAAGGAGAACGACGTCCTAATACAACGACGAAAGGACGATGGCAGCTCGGTGCCTTACAGGGTGGTTGACGCAGTCAACAAGCTCTCTCCCCAGGACTGGTAAGGAGATCAGATTGTTCCTTCCCCTGAAAAGCACCACCATCTGGTAAATGTAAAGTAAATGTTATACTGCTTTGCATGAGAGATGCTGCAGTATTGACCCTTTCCTCAGCTACAGCAGCGAGATAGATCCTTGATTGTAGAGCCTTGTGCAAGATAAATATTTTAAGAAGTTATCACGCTACAGTCAGATTAATACCAGTGGACCAGGTCAGCCGCGCCAACCTGCTTGATAACCGTCGTGTCTCTGTGGGTGTTTACTCATTGCTAATGTTTATTTCCTGTGTGTGTGCAGGGATCGTGTCGTTGGTGTGTTCGCTCAGGGTCCTGCTTGGCAGTTCAAGGGTTGGCCCTGGCTTCTCTCCGATGGCTCCCCCGTCGACATCTTTGCTAGAAGCAAGTTACAATTCTCTTGTTTTGGAAGATTTTATTGGAAATAGTTGATCTTGACGAAAGTCATGCAGCAATGCCTTGTGTGCTAAATGTGTCCAAATAGAAGTAACCTCTTGTAGTCGTACGCGTATTCATTTCAAGACCAATTCAAATCTCTCCTTTTCGCATATCTTTAATTCAGATTTTTTTGTTGGTTTTCAGTTCGTGGCTTCCACATCAAATTTGACGAGATGAAACTGGACCCCAACATCAAGAAGTGGAACGTTCACGTTTTGGTGGTCAGTCGCACCAAACGCCACCTGGATCGGGCCTGTCTCCTCAAATTCTGGGAGATATTAGACAAGTACGTCCAACCATGTAGGGATAGATTAGTCCTCTCAAAGCAAACTTTCTTCAGATCAAAATTTGGAGAGAAGCAAGCTGTGTGAAACCGTACACCAAGCTGCCGACATGTAGCATGGCCTAGTCTTCACACGAATGTTTGCTTGCTTTTGCAATCCATCGCAACCTCATAAAAAACTCCTTTTTTCTCTTTCTTTCCAACCTTAATGAACCTTTTCCCTTTTTGTCATGATTGTCTTTCTCAGGTACATGATCAAACACAAGTCACATCTGAGATTCTAAGACACATCCGTAGGCAGATGCCACCATGGACCACTACTTCCTACGACTGACAAGATCCAGATGATTTTGAAGCGTAGGATGTAGTCTGTCCACTTTGCTCCTGGGTGTTCAAGGGCTTCGTTACGATTTACAGCAACTGCACAGTTTGCAGTTACATCATGCCCAGGGGTAGGAACTGATGTACAAGTCACAGACAGCGCCTAGTCTCTGGACATGCAGTGGCTACATCTGTGGTCAGAGCGATGCTTAGAGCAAGGGTAAAAAATGGGATGAGCACTTGTCAGTGTTCTTGGAAATATTTTCGTACCAAAATGCTCAAAATATTGATTTTGTTTTAGTTTCACCATGTTTGCATCTGTGTATTGTTCTATTCCAATTTAGAATATTATTGACAATTGAAAGTTGTACAAAAGGGAATAACTTTAAAGATTTTGATGCATTGAAGATGTTTCTAAAAGCACTCTGGCATTTTCTCAATCTTTTTTTTTTTTAAACGAGGGCCCTACATTGAAGCAAGAGATTTATTCCCCATTTTCTCAAACGTACCAAAAAGCAAAGTATCTGGCAGCCATTTTGTAAAAATAAAAATCATTAAATCTACTTCATGGAATAATTGGTTGGTTTTACCACAGTGACGTACAGGGTAGTTTTGGTGTACCACAAATCGACGTACCGTCCGTAGACTTTGTTGGTGCAGCAACTAGCCCTGATACATCAGCGAATCGAATATGGCGCCTTGAAGACCACACCCCCTTTAAAACGTTTGTGTTTTCCAGTTTATTTCAACTCCAATCTAGTTTTTTTTTTTCACAAAGCAGTTTTCATCTTTTCCCTCCAGCGGAAAAGCCATTTGTAAATAGTCATTTTGTATTGTATCATATGCGTATACATGTAGATGTAGGGTAGTGAATTAAATCATGTAGGATGGCAGTAAACAATATTTGAAATCAGTCAGATTTGAAATGGGTTGCCAGAAAGAGGTCCAAATTTCAATCTTGACTCTCCAAATTTGCATGACATCCATGATGTAGCCATTTCTGATGTACAGACTGAACAAATGTACCGTTTCATCCTGGCAATGATTGGATATTTATCCCCAATTTGTACCATAATTGATCTCCAATGTGTTCTCAGCAGTAACACATAAATGATTGTGCACTGTACCACCAACCCTGTATATTAACCATTAAAAGAAAGTGTTTCCATTCAAGCACTTTTTACTGATCTTTTTGGAAGCCTTTTCTTTTGTGAGTTTGTGTGTAAATAGTTCAAGAAAACAGGGCAGTTTCCGATGGAAATAAAAATTTAAATACAGCAATTGTATTCCTTACCACCTGAATGGTGAATATTTACTCTGTACTGTTCAGGCATGCAACTTCGTCTTTGAAAAAAAAGGAAATTCCTATCTTTACAAGACTTTGGACAGTGTTTTTCAATGGCATGAGTGTGAAGTAAAAAATGAGGAAATCAGCCGATCCGAGGAAAAGTTGCATGCCTGACTGTTAAAGATGACCAGTAGAGAAATAGTCAACATTCGTTCTTCACCTCTCAAAATCCCAAAATCTGATATCCCACCAAAAATTATTCTGCAAATCTACTACTACAAACACAAGGCTGACTTGATGCTATCAATTTTTTTTAGAAACTTCCTAATACTATAGAACAAAATGATAAACATATTGAACATGTTAAGTATTCTTGCATTTGAAAAAATAAACCATAGAAAGATGACAGTTGCAAATAAACAGAAGACAAGAATTGTAAAATTTCATTTGAAACATTTGAATGAGTCCCCATTCCAAGCTCAAAAGGGTGTTTATTTAACGAAGCATTTTTGCCCATGTACATTTCACAAATGGAAGATTCCTCATCACAACTGAAACACTTAAGAACAAGAGATTGATTTAACTTCCTCTTCTCTATCAAACGGAGACTGTCAACAATTTTAGTGAAATCAAATCAAAGGAAGATCATTTTTTGTTAAATTTTGTACAAAAATAATCCGCCCTGTAGAAGCAAGTAAATAATTTTGACTTAAAAATATGCAACTTTTGTACACTTTAACTTTGGCAGATGTTCCTTTTTTATAGCAAACTATTACTGGCAAAAACTATTTACAAATTACATACATCCCATTGAAACAAATCTCGCTGTTAAGTTTGGAGATGATAGTGCTTCACCAAATGTCTTGGAAAGAAAACTTCCTTAAGCCCATATCCTGCATGTTCCATCAATTCTTCTTTTCAAAGTATTCTGTATAAAGTACCTTGAACTTTCATGGTCATTCCTGCTCATACTTCTCTAAAATATCAAACTTTAAAAATGAATATGTACAGATTCACTTTCTTAGTGTCACCTTTCAAAAATATTACTCAATTTAAATAAAATAATGCCTGGTACGTGCACCGTTCACACAAGTTTGAAACAATCTTCACAAAGTAAGTAAAACATTAGTAGCACCGTTTTGCTGGCTTGGTTCACAATAAATTTAAGCAACGTTTCAACATGTGTCAAATACTGGCCGAAATCAATATAAACTGTGATTGAGATTGCTACTAATAGACTGCAGTTTGTCACTTTAATTATCTCCATGACCCTTGACCTTCCTGCATCTGTCTTGGCATGCCAGGCCCAGGAGGGCCGGGGCCATACCTCTGGGGGTTAACAATGAAGGGTCTTGGTGGGTCACTCACTGGTATGGGAACAAATTGGGCGATCGCAATCTGCTGTGGCAGAGGGTACTGACTCATGACATGGGTCTGAGGTGGGGGACCAAGCCAAGGGTTAGGGTTCACTGGCTGGGGTAGGGGGACAAAGTCACCCGATCTTAGGTGCTGCTGGTACCCTTGGTTGGCCCCGCCCATGAGTGGGTACTGGGAGTGTGTGAGTTGGTGGGGTGCAAAGAAGGGTTCAGATGGAGAAGGTGCGAGGAGACGGGTGGCTTGTGGGTTGGGGAACCCTGGATTGGGAGTATTCTGACAGGCTGCAAACTGATAACCGGGCTGTGTGGAAGGAGCCATCTGATTGAACAGTGGCTGGTGCAGGCTTTGAGACTGACCAACAGCAGCTTGTGTAAGACAAAGTGTGTCCCTTTGATCTGACTGCTGGACATTCACTGGTGGTGGTTGGGATGCAAGACTGCTTTTCTCTTCCTCTCGTGGCAGTGGTTGGACAGGCTGGACCAACCGTCCCTGAGATTCAGTACTCCCATCAGAGTAGGACACAACACTCAGTGGACGGTTTGGGGTGACTGGTGAGTTAGACTGTTCTGGTTCCCTGTGAGGGAGTGCCGAGTTGGTCAAAGAAACCATTTTGTCTGAAGAAAGACCACCAAAAAGGGTGAAGACAGTAAATCTGGGTAAAACTGACATTACTTCTATATCAACTACTTTCTTATGTCTTCAAGCTGCAGCAAAATTAGGAATTTCTAGCAGTAAACTGAGTAAGACATGTTAGCGCACGTACCTACCTGCCACTTCCTGTTGCTGCATGTGAGATTTGGTGGCTTCTAGTTTTTGGGAGATTTCTTCAATCTTCCTCTCTATGTATGACAGATGGTCCACACCGTTTGAATCATGGCTCACCATCATGTCTCCCAAAATGCGCTTTCTGAGAGAGAAAAACCAAAAGAAATGTTGGCGGTAGGGAATCCTACACAAGCAATATTTGGCCATGTCCAAAAATGGGCACTGTTGTCTCTGACTACAGGTTGGTTGATGGCAAAACTATTCATTATAATACAAGAATGGCAAAACTATCCAACCTTGATACAATGGCAAACTATCTACCTTAATATATGAATGGCATAACTATCTATCATAACACAAGAATGGCAAAACTATCTAACACAATGCCAATGCGACACCTTCAGACAGTCTACAAAGTCAACTTTGCTAAATATGTACCTTCTGAACTGCAATGCTGACAAAGTCATGTTTAGCTCCTCTACGTCTAAAGACAAGTCAAGCTCATCCTTGGCAGATTCGTCAATGTCACTGCCAACCAGGTCCTAAAAAAAAACCAAGACACTAAATAACCTCTAAAAAAATTAAAAAGGGGACAGAAGATTATGACTTGTTAAGCTTACAATTGAAGCAAAAGACTCACTCCAAAAACTCCAAAGTTCTCAGCAATCTCCTGAAGTTGCTGCACAGTGTCCATACGGACTGAACTACAAGAACTCAGCAACAACATGGCGCTAGGTAAAGGAATGACACAAAAAAGAAAATTTGCCAACAGATTTCAAGGTAAATTTTTTAACGTCATCAACACACTTCAGAAAAGCAACAAATTTTCTTTACATACCTTGTGAATGGCATCATAAGTATAAAGTCTTCAGAATCATCCAGCAAGTCAAAGCTGTCAGGGGGAAAAAGGAAAAATTTTGACATTGACAAAACTGTAAAACGTAAAGCAAGGGAGATGGAGCAATTCAGCGTTTTATATTTACCTTCGCAACTCTTCAAAAAGTCTCGGGCTTTCCTTCTCCACTGCCGTCAGCAAAGGAATTTCAACGCCCAAATTATCCACCTAGATATACAAACACAAAGGTAACACATTATCCATATATTCATATATGAATAATGTATTCATATATGAATATATATGCAAATTATTCATGTCATATATGAATAATGCACATTATGTATTCACATACTACGACTTTATCAAAGTAGGTACATCGACCTGAAAGACTGTCTCTTACGAGGCTTTTATAGTGCTGATACAACATATGACACATGTGCCGTCCTAAAAGCGTTCATATTAACAAAAACATACAAACCATCCCTACTGATGGACATGGAAGAGCCTCCGAGTGTAAACACAGAGGATTTGTTTATATTTACCTGTTGATACAGGATATCCTCAGGTTCAGACTCATCTTCTCCACACATGAGGTCAGCGACCTCCACGACGGTCAAGCAAGCATCACTGTCGTGGTTGATCAGATGTACCTGGTACCCATCATGGAAATCAATGCTGGGGGTGCAGAGAGGATGCAGGGGGCAAGACACAATGAGAACCATGCCAACGAGTAACTCTGTCTTTCAAGATGGCAAAATATCGAAAAATCCAGCTACAAAGATGGCAAAGAATTTTAAACTGAATCTTACAATTCAAAATTAAACAGCCAACTCACAGATAACCCATCCAATCTGACGATAAACTCACCGCTTGACAATCCACGGCGCTTCATCTGCTATTGCTTCAAGAGGAGGCAAGTCTCTACTCTTGTCCTCTGAGGGGGGATTCGAACCTCCGTCTGGAAGCGGTACATCCACCTCTGCACCATCTTAAAAGCAAGCAATTCAATTTTTCTGCCGCTGAGAGAGATTCTGCTAGGATGAAAATGTCATACCCTCCTAAATTTTAGGTTTGTGTATTCAAGTTTGCTGCAGCTTTTGTGTATTTTTAAATTAATTTTGCAGCAGAATTCATAATGATAAAAGCAGGACAAATAAGGCGATGTACATCAATGGACACCTAGGAACACATGTATAAAACATACCCAATCAACTTACTAGATCACAACATTTGTGACTAGAGAAAGATCAAAATTTCAACTTTGAGAAAGGTTGAATTTGAAACACTTCAATTATATTGTGTCCCTTGCACATATCAAAATTGGTCAATTTGACAAATAATTATTTGAATCCACATTAAAGCAGTTGGGATAGAACATGTTCCACAGCTCTGACATATTGCTTCAAGGGTTTCTGCTCAGTTTGAAGGGGGTACCTTCCGGGGCAAGTGGGCTCTCCTCCTGTTCCTGGGTCATGTCCAGCAATTCTCTTTGGTCATCACTGGCATTCTCATCAAATTCTGTGACATCTTCCAGGGTCAACATGGCTAAGTCCGGTTGCGGTACATCACCCTCCAACTAACCAAATTTCGTATTAAACAAAAGAAAAAAAATTGACTTGCATTTCATAAAACTCTTTAAATCACTTTGAAAACAGGATGCAATTTTCATGTGGACTCAGCATGTACTTGTTTTATGCGGTAAAAAAATCTTGACATAATGAGAAAACAGGTGCTTGACAAAAGCAGGGGAGGAGCTTCAATTTACCGGAGGCGGGAGGAGTTGATCCAGGTCGTCTTGTGTTCTAGCAAACACTGCTAAACCTTCTTCCACCAGGGCGTCGTTAATGTGGATATCTTCCTCCGTCGTCGTGTCGCTTAGCAACAGGTATAACTCATCATTCTTTATATGGTGGAATCAAAACATCAGATATCAACAATTCAAACAAATCTCTTAATTTACTGCGACAAACAACAAAATGAGAATGGAGATAGGGATAACGTTCTATTTCTTTATGAATGGAGAAACTACAAGATGCTATTGAAGAAACTTGCATTCACAAATTCAACAAAAATGACAACTTCAACAGATGTACAAGGCCACAAATGCTCTACCAATGACATTGATTCTAATATCAAAATCATCAGGAAACTATTGCATTACATTGGAGAAATAAAGGAATTTTGACAAGTTGACATCAGTTCTACAAATCTAAATGCTCTTCACTGATTAACTTGCACTATCTCTGATGGGGACAGCTCACCTGAATTTCTGTGATCAAGGCTATCAGTGGCTTCCCTGCTGTCATAGCGAGGAGTCGATCTCGAGCTTTCATTGTCCACTTGTCCTGAGTAACCAACAAAAAACATGGATGAAAACAACATTCCCAATGTCATTTGGAACTTTGTCATTTGTCATTACCATCGTCACTCGGTGAGAAAGGAATAGCCTCTGGTAAATTATTGAGCAGGAACAATTAATCTGGGTTCCAAGAATAAAGAAATTTACAGGAGAAAGGGGACGTTGGGACTGTAAAGAATTCCAATTTTGTTACCTCTGACGGTGCAATGAATGCCAGTCTCGCATTGTATGCCTGGATGGGCAGTTTCAGAAAGCAGGATCTGTAAAAACACACGAGGAACAGTTATCAAAACAAACTCATTCCCAGTTAAACAGGTAAGTGAAAATCTCTGACAATCGTGGACACTGAAGTCTCGACAACACACTGATTGCAGTTGGGTTGGGGACGGGCAAAACC